CCTAAGCCTTGAACTTCATCTCAGCCCAGCTAAGGGCTTAAAGTTTAAAACCTCGGCCTCGGCCTTGAACATCATCTCAGCCCAACGAAGGGCTTAAAGTTTAAAAGTTCGGCCTTAGCTTAGAGCTCCAACTCAGCCCAGTGAAGGGCTTCAAGATTAAAGCTCGGCCTCAGCCTTGAGCTTCAACTCATCCTAGCTAAAGGCTTAAAGTTTAAAAGCTCAGCCTTAGCCTAGAGCTTCACCTCAACCCAATTAAAGGCTTCAAATTTATTAGCTCAGCCTCGGCCTTGAGCTCAGGCCAACGAAAAGCTTCAAGTTTAAAAGCTCGGCATTAGCCTTGAGCTTCAACTCATCCCAGTTAAATGCTTCAAATTTATTAGCTCAGCCTCGGCCTTAAGCTCAGCCCAACAAAGGGCTTCAAGTTTAAAAGCTCGGCATCAGCCTTGAGCTTCAACTCAGCCCAGTTAAGGGCTTCAAATTTATTAGCTCGGCCTCGGCATTGAGCTCCAACTCAGCCCAACCAAGGGCTTCAAGATTAAAAGCTCGGCATCTGCCTTGAGCTTCATCTCATCCCAACTAAGGGCTTCAAGTTTAATAGCTCATCCTCGACCTTGAGCTCCAATTCAGCCCAGTGAAGGGCTTCAAGATTAAAGCTCAGCCTCAGCCTTGAGCTTCAACTCAGCCCAGTTAAGGGCTTCAAATTTGTTAACTCGGCCTCGGCGTTGAGCTCAGTCCAGCAAAGGGCTTCAAATTTAAAAGTTCGGCATCAACCTTGAGCTTCAACTTAGCCCAGTTAAATGCTTCAAATTTATCAGCTCAGCCTCGGCCTTGAGCTCAGCCCAACGAAGGGCTTCAAGTTTAAAAGCTCGGCATCAGCCTTGAACTTCAACTCAGCCCAACTAAGGGCTTCAAACTTATTAGTTCAGCCTCGGTATTGAGCTAAGCCCAATGAAGGGCTTCAAGTTTAAAAGCTCGTCATCGGTCTTGAGCTTCAACTCAGCTCAGTTAAGGGCTTCAAATTTATTAGCTCGGCCTCGGTATTGAGCTCCAGCTCAACCCAACCAAGGGCTTCAAGATTAAAAGCTCGGCATCAACCTCTAGTTTCAACTCAGCCACACTAGGGGCTTCCAATTTATTAGCTCAGCCCAATGAAGGGCTTCAAGTTTAAAAGCTCGACATCAGCCTTGAGCTTCAACTCAACCCAGTTAAGGGCTTCAAATTTATTAGCTCAGCGCAGCGAAGGACTTCAAGTTTAAAAGCTCGGCATCAGCCTCGAGCTTCATCTCAGCCCAACTAAGGGCTTCAATTTTATTAGCTCGGCCTTAGCCTTGAGCTCATCCCAGTGAAGGGCTTCGAGTTTATTAGCTCAGCTTAGCCAAGAGCTTCAAGTTTAAGAGGTCAGCCTCAAATTAAAAGCCCACGGCGTAAAAAGCAGGTTTCAAATTAAAAAGCCTCCGCAAAAGAAGCGGGGCTCAAATTAAAAGACCATGGCGTAAAAAGTCGGGTTCAGATAAAAAAGCCTTCGCGAAAGAAATATGGCTCAAATTAAAAGCACACAGCGTAAAAAGTCGGGTTCAAATTAAAAAGCCTCCGCGAAAGAAACGAGGCTCAAATTAAAAGCACACGACGTAAAAAGTCGGGTTCAAATTAAAAAGCCTCCGCGAAAAAAATGGGGCTCAAATTAAAAGACTATGGCGTAAAAAGCCGGGTTCAGATAAAAAAAGTCTCCACGAAAGAAATGAGGCTCAAATTAAAAGACCACGGCGTAAAAAGCTGGGTTAAAAAAAAGATGGAATTTGAGAGATGCGATCATAGCAAAAGGATCACACCCTAATCCGCGATAAAAATGAAGACGAAATTGGAGAGATGTGATCCTAGCAAAAGGATCACACCTTGATCCAAAGAAAAAAAGAGAGAGATGGAATTGGAGAGATGTGATTCTAGCAAAAAGGATCACACCCGAATCCGAGAAGACCAATTTGGAGAGATCATGATCCTAGAAAAGGATCACACTCCAATTTGAGATAAAAGAAAAATCAAGGCGGCATATGATGTTAGGCTCATATTCAAGATTTTGGCAACAAAGCCAAATGACAAAGTTTGCTGCGGTCCAACAGGCCAGCCTCAAATTAAAAATCTATCGCTAATGAAGCGTTGCTCAAAGTAGAAAGCTATGGTATGCGAAGCCGGGCTCAAACAAAATATGGCAAAAAGTCTAGTCCAATAGAAAAGCCACGGTACGTTAAGCCGGGCTAAAATCAGAAAGGCAAAGATACCGCCTTCAAAAGTGTAGACAAGGCAAAAGCCAAGTCAATTTAAAGAAAGCCACGGTATGTGAAGCTGGACTCAAAATGAAGAAGGAATTGCCCTAGTAACTTAAGACTACAACAGGAAAGTCAAGTCATTAAGGTTTTGGCCACATATGCCTAACAGCCTGGCCTCAAATTAAAAAGCCATCACGAATGAAGTGGGGCTCAAAATAAAAGCCACGGTATACGTATTCGGGCTTAAAATCGAGGAGGCAAACTCCTCCTTCAAGAATCCAAGACTATGGAAAAAGAAGCCAAGTCCGTCGAAAACAAGAGAAGTCATGGTATTCGAAGCCAGACTAATCGTTCAAGAAGGCACGAAAGACCTTCCCAAAATTAAGATATAGGCAGCGAGCCAAATCCAAAAGGGGGAAGTCGCAGTAAGAAAATTCGTGCTCCTAAAGTACAATACACCTTTGCAAAAGGACAAATCCATGCTAATAGAGATCTCGGTATGCGAAACTGAGCCAAATCTAGAACCACGGCACTTAAAGGCAGGGAGTGCAAAGTCGGGTTAATTAATAAGAAGGCATGAAATGCCGTCCTAAAACTTAGGTGGACGCCTATATCGAAGACTGACAATAAGCGTAGTCAAAACTAAATAGCCTTGGCAAGAGAAGCCAACCTCAAAGTAAAAAAAAAAAGGCAAACATCGCCTCACCACTCAGAGATTTCAAGAGAAAAGAAGCCAATATAAAAAGCTAAACCAAAAAGAGGTAGTCGCACAAAACCCAAGGCAGGATCATAGTACCTCGGTAGGGTCGACCTATCAATTAGACTTAGACATCCCGGCATTCCGAGCTTCGGAATACCGGGCTGAGGGGCAACTGATATGGAATATATCAATATCCTAACTACTCACCCAAAGATCACTCAAAGGATAATTACCCAATTATCTTAACAGTACAAAACAATAAAGCCAATCAGGATAAAGACTCTATCCCAACAGAAGAGGAGTTGAATCCTACCACAAATGAGAGATCTACACAAATCCTAGAGGTAACCATTATAAAAAAGAGGCTAAAGATCCCAGGTATACACTTTGACCTATTTACTATTACTGCCAACACTGTGTACACACTCAAATCTTGGCTATAAGCTTATTACTTATGCGCAGTGATTGTATTGACTATAAGCCAATCAAGATATCTATCTCTAAGATATCTCTGAGCGCATACCCTTAAGGTATCCTTATACAGTTCAATAAGACCGAACAAAAGATATATGTGTTATTTATTAATATTTCTCTTTTTTATTTAATAGTAATAAGAACTCATGACCTCATGCAAACTATTCAAACATTTTATCAGTAAATCAATCCTAATGATTTATTTATTAATATCTCTTTATCATCTTTACCTTATTATTATTATGAGTTCTACGTAAAATCTCTATTTAAATCAATATTTTTATCTCACCTTGTTGATTTCTATTCAATATATTATCTTATATACATTTATGAAAACTTTTTTATCTATACAGACTCTAATTATCTCTTTGAGACAATTTGACCTCCGGTATCTCTAAGTTTAAACTCTTTGAGCCGACTATGAGACTTATTCTGAGTTGGGACTTAATCACACTTAAAATTCATCGCTCCTCCCTAAAAAATATTTGGTGGAAATCGTGAAAACTTTCATATACCTTGTACTAATAATGTTAGTATAAATTATATAATTAATTGAAATACGCTATTAATGAAATATAAAAAAATAAATTAAACAAATATTTTTTGAATATTTTTTCATTAGAACTTAAAACAATAAGATTAAAAGATTAGAAAATTCTAAATAAGCGAAATAGTATTACTTATACGATATTTTATTAATATATACTTTTATTTTTTTTATCTAAGATTATTGTATGTAATAACGTATGCTTTTTTTCTAACAACAAATAGTATTTTGATGTATTTTGGCTGCTATTTGTTTAAAATAAATAATTGAAAGTTAAAAAAACATAAGAAAGTTAAAAAAATGAAGAATATAAATGAAAAGAAAAGAAAAGATATAGTTGTATTTATTCGTAGACAAATTTCCCGGTAGATTAACAAGAGTATCTCCCCGCAAACATGGGAGAGATGTGTTTCCCCATAAAAATCGTTTCTTTAATTAAAATCCAACCTTCACTTCACACACACTCTCTTTCTATATGACTCATTATCTCTCTCCCATTCACCTTGTCACCATGGACCACCAATTGCAATTTGCAAAATTCAGACAAATTGAAGAGAGAACAGAAGAAGGTGGCAAATTCAGAACACTCTTCTAACAACAACAACAACACTGCATCTTGTATCCTTTTATTATAATTGTGAGCCCCTCCCTCACCCCACCATGATTTTGACCCTTCCTTCTAATAATTTCACCATTTCTTTTTCCAATTACTTTCTTCCTTTATCAATTTTTTTTTTTGCAGGGATAAATTAAAGCCAAAAAAACTGTGTTGGTACCATAGATCTGTGACCTCTCTCGATCTGTTCGGGGACCCAAGGTATCCGAGGCTTTCTCTCACTTTTTATTTTATTTTATTTTTCTTGTCTTGTTTTGTGTTCCTTTATGAAGGGTCCCCCCCACAAGAAAATGAATGAACTCATGCATAACAACGTTTTTCCTTCACGTCTTCCACAAGAGGTTCTGCTGTCTTGTTCTGTTTTCTTTTTGTTTCCATTTCATTTTCTAGGAATAAGACAATTTTCCCGAGAAAATTTCTGACCTATTTCTTACCCATGCACCATTCCTGAACCTTCCATAAATTTCATTCAGCTCTTCCGGGCGCACTCTGCAAATTACAATCCCAGAAAAAAAAAACAGGAATTCTCCATTTCGTTCCCACGAATTCTTTCTCTAATTTTCTAGTTTCATGCCACAATTCTCTTTATTTTTCTCAACAAAAAAAAAATCTTTCATTTTTCTGAGAAAATTCCCGACCTATTGCTTGTCTATACACCATTAACCCATTCGATCCTTTCATTTTACTTCCTCTTCTTCAGGCAAAGTCTCCTACTTTCCCGAGAAAATTCCCACCCTAGAAAAATAAAATTAAAAATTCGGAAAATTCATTCTCTGTCTCGGAAACCTTTTTATCTGATTTTGTAGATTTTGATGCTGTAATCTTGAAGGAAAAAATAAGGTTATAATAAAAAGTGTGTTTGAAATGGAAGGTCGCCGGAGGGTAACACTTCATGATCAAATGTCAGCATCAGACACGCTAGCCGGATTGAGCCTTGACGACATCTTAGGCAACCAGAAAAGACCACACGCAGCGCCGCCGCCGCCGCAGCAACAGCTCCCAAAGAGCCGAACCCTCCTAGACATCATCAGAGAAGACGAGACCAACAAGAAGGACCGCAGGTAACTAAATCATTATTTACAACCAACATAATGGTTACTGATTTTCGTTGATTTGAAAAATTATTGAGTCACATTCATTTAGTTAATTATTAATTCTCAATAAATTATAACGGTTAGATTGACTGAAATCAACGATGATTAAATTGATTACAAAAGTGATAAACTTTTTTAGTTGTAAGTATATCCTCAGACATAGCTTAGTTAATATAACCAATTTAATAACAAACCTAATCACTGTTTTGAAAATTAATGATGGTTATTATTGAGTCACGTTTCACTGTTAATTATTAAACTTTTACCAACCTAACCAAACTAAATTTAATATAAATTATTGAGTCACGTTTCACCGTTAATTATTAATTTTTTTTATAAATTACACTAAGTAGATCGGTCATACACTCTTGATTAGTGTATGACCGGTCATATATAGTTTAGTTTGTAAGAATTTGTAAATAAAAAGTTTGTAAATATAACATTTCCCTATATATATTGGGTTTGATGTTTGTCATTTTAAATGACATAAATTATGTCATTTCAAGAGAGATAGACACAGGAAATGAAAATCATGGGAAGAAAGTGAGTGTTTTTTTTTAATTTAAATTTTAAATAATTTTTTATTTTATTTTGTGTCAATCTCTCTCTTAAAATGACATAATTTTATGTCATTTAAAATGACAAACACTTTTCTCAAATATATATATATATATATATATATATATATATAGGGAAAAAATTTCTCCCGTAACTTGAGATAAATTTATCTCCGGCCACCCCAAAACTACGTCGTTTTGTTTATATATTTCCTTATATTAATTGATTCACCTTTGAATGGTTATGATTCCCTTTTTCTCTCTCTTCCTTTATCACCATTGATCCATCTTTGTACGGTTATGATTTAGTAGCCGGAGATAAAATTATCTCAAGCAGCTTGAGAAATGATAACCCCATATATATATATATATATATATATATATATATATATATATATATATATATAGAATATCTTTTGACAGCGGTGTCAAATTTTAAAATTTGACACCAAATCCTATATGTTGATTTCTGTCAATCAACAGTTATTATTTACTGAAAATTAATATTAATTAATAAGTTTAACTCCCAATAAATAATAACCGTTGATTGGCGGAAATCAAATGTTAAGATTTGATGTGAAATTTTAAAATTTGTTGACACCGGTGTAAAAAGATTTTATCTCACACACACACATATATATATACATGGGTTTAATATTTCTAAAGTGAATGTAGATAAGTTATCTACATTCGCGGATAAAATAACGTCGTTTTGAGTTGAAAAATTTAAAAATTATAATGAAAAAAGTTATTATAACCCTAAAATAAATTATAATTACGAAAATACCTTGATTTCTGCCTCTAAACGACGTCGTTTTGGACTCAATGTAGATAAATTATCTACATTGACTGTAGAAAAAGTGAACCCTATATATATATAGGGTTTCGATTTTCTCAAGAAGATTTTCTCATGTAGTAGACATATTTTATGTGGAGCCCACATCTATTAAAAAAATAAAAAAGCAAAAGAAAATATTGCACAAAAATCGAAGGATCACTTGTAGGAGAAAACAACTCTTCTACGATATGAGAAAATGTTTTCCCAATATATAGGGAAAAATAAATCTTATGTTGTAGAAGAATTCTAATTTCATGTCATAGATACATCAAGTGTGAGACCCAATTATTTAAAAAAAAAAACAAAAAAATGAGTGGCACAACTTTTTATGGTGTGTGTAGGAAGAGTTTGTTTTCTCATGCAACATGAGAAAAACAAACCCCATATATATATATGAGCTTATCATTTCTCAAGCTACTTGAGATAATTTTATCTTCGGCTACTAGATCATAACCGTACAAAGATGGATCAATAGTGACAAAGGAAGAGAGAGAAAAATAAAATCATAATCATTCAAAGGTGAATAAATTAATATAAAAATAAAAATAAATAAAACGACGTAATTTTGGGATGTCCGTAGATAAACTTATCTTAAGTTGCCAGAGAAATGTTTTTCCATATATATATATATATATATATATATATATATATATATATATATATATATATATATATAGAGGATTGTCTTACACAAGAATTCGATCTTAATAATTCATCTACTTCTTATATTTAAAAAATTTAATTTATTAATCACATGGTAGAATTAGAATGTTACCTGCTCCTGAGTCTTGCATAAGGATATACGTTATTTATTCAAAAATAATAATAATTGGATCAACAATAAAAATTAAAAGCTTTTATGGGTAAAAGAAATAAGGAAAAAATATTTGTCCTTATAATTGACACAACTTGTGTCATTTCATTATCACAAAAAGGTGAGATTCACATTTTTATTTTTTTATCCACTCTATTTTCTATGATTTATCTTTTTCTCTCATTTAAAATGATACATCTTTACCTCTTTTAAAATAATACACATTTTTCCCAGGAAATAATGGCCTTGTTTTTATATGTGGATTTAATATTTTTCCTTCCATCCAAAATAATGTTCTTTTAGGGTAGATAGGAAAAATATGACCCACTTTTTTTATTTTTTTTATCTACTCTCTCTCACTTAAAATGACACATCTTTACCTCATTCTTCAAAATAATACACACTTTTTTCCAAAAAATAATAGCCTTGTTTTTATATGTGGATTTAATATTTTTCCTCCCATCCAAAATAACGTTCTTTTAGGGTAGATAGAAAAAATATTTTATAATCTTAAATTATTTTATAATAATATTAATTTTATTATGATAATTTTTTTAGAGAAGAAATATACTTACAATCTAAAAATTTTACAACCTCTTATCACTAAATCTCAATGATTAAAATTTGATGGCAAGAGATTATAAAATTTTTAAGTTGTAAATATATCCTCGTTTGTTTTTTATTCAACCCTATTAATAATGTTGTTTTGACTGACATTAAATTAAGTTATCTAGCAATAAATGAAATATTAAACTCATATTAATAACGTACCCACGAATAACAGTAAACTCATAATAACAACTTACAGTCTTACACCACTACTTACACCACTCTCATCTAATAATATTTTATTTTTTATTTACATTACAAGTAATAATTTTATTTTATTAATTATATAAATTACTAAATTCACTGAAATTGATTATTAAAGAATATAAAACTTATCATTGTAAGATGAAAACTATTATTATAATTAGAAATATAATAAAAATTATTTATTCATTCAGTTTCACTTAATATTTTTTATTAGTTCTTTTTTAATAATATTAATTATACTTTTAATCTTAATAATTGATCTTAGTTATATTTAATTATTCTAATTTATCAGCAATGTGAGTTACTGCTTAGCTAAGAAAGATTATAAGATGGCTTATTCTGATATAATAATAACTTATCTTATATATATATCAATTAAAATTTTTGAGATAAAAATGTTATATATTTTACTCATGTTATTAGTTGATTTTATACTTTACGATGAAAATTATTGTTTCTTTAAAAATTTTAAGAAAGTATTTTTTTAAGGAATGTTGTGTGAATTTTTAATGAAAGGTAAATATTATTTGGGAAAAATGTGTATCATTTTAAAGGAGATAAAATTGTGTCATTGTGAGAGAAAGAGATAAATAAATGAGGAGAGAGGGTGAACAAAAAAATATAAAGGTGTAGATCTCACCTCTTTATGCAAGTGAAATAAAACAAGTTGTGTCATTTAAAGAACAAACACTTATCCCATATTATAATTATGGGAAAAGTTCACCAATGCGTTTGCTCTAGAATCACCACCTATGTCCTTGTGATGTCTCCCTTTGGTTTACAAAAAGGTATGTTTTTTATCACATATGCTCATGTGGTTTGTTATTTTTTACAAAGCACAGGACATATGTGATTAAAAAAAGAAAATCACAAGAGCATAGATAATTCTGAAACAAACTACAAGAGCATTAGTGAACGTAAACTTTTTCCTATAATTATATAGTTCATTTTTTTTTTTTTTTTCTGGATACATGTTAGATGTTTTGCTTACTTGATTTGGTAGATCTTGGAAAGCCTTCAAGGACAAGCTTCGGCTCAAGCGCGCCGGCTCTGCTTGGACATCGTCAATTCATATTCCGACTTCGGATATCCCAGTCCCTCACCCAAACAGCAGAAGCTTTTCCCAGTACGGTCGTCGAAACTCGGTCCGCCACCAGACTCACCCCGACTCGGACACGTCAACTCAGTACATGGCTCACCAAGTGGAAGACCTCGACCCGACGGAGGACTCCGATTCACCGGCAACGGCGCCAGCCACAAGGCCTCAGTTCACTCGCGGTAGCTCTACACGTTACAGGTCACCGCTCGACACGCCTTTCGCCGGCGACTCCTCCGACAACGTCCCCGCCGGCGGCGTTCTCCGGCCGCAGCTATCTCGGCGGAACTCCACCACCCTGCAAACGGAGCCGTTCCGGCGAGGCCGCGTGGTGACTTTCCGGGACAGCTTCGACGACGACGAACCCGACGACGGCAGCAGGCTCCCGGAGACAGGGAGGGCGCTGTCGGCAAGGGAGGCGGTGGCGGCGCAGGAGGCAGCGGAAGCTGCGGCGGCAGCAGAGGCGGAGGAGGCGGGTGAGGCTCCGGTGATGATGTCGCTGATGGATTTGCTGGAGGAAACTGATAGGGAAATGGGGCTTGAAGGGTCAAGGTATATATTGAGTGATGACGAAGATTTTGATGAAGAAGAAGGTGGGGAAGCTGAAGAGGAAGGAGAAGGTGTAATGGAATACACATGCTGTGTTTGCATGGTGAGGCATAAGGCTGCTGCTTTTATACCTTGTGGCCACACTTTCTGCAGGATGTGTTCAAGGGAGCTTATGGTCAGTAGGGGCAATTGCCCACTCTGCAACAATTTCATTTTGGAGATTCTTGACATTTTCTGATTTTTTTTATTTTTTTATTTTTTTAATATTCAAGTTCTGGGTTCTCTCTTTGTTTGTGTTGGGAACTTTTTTTTGTTTTTTGTTTTTCAAAATTTGTATTTGTTATTGTTGATATTATGTTATTGGCTTTTTTTTTTTTTATTCTTTTGTGCAGTTCTGGGGTGTGAATAAGAGTGTGGATGATGATTTCTTACTGTTTCTTTTCATGAATAGAGATGATATTTTTCAAAAGTTTGTTTGTGTTTCACTGGCTCATAATTGTTCTTCTGTATGCCAATTGCTGTTATATAATTTGACTCACAAAATTGAGATGATGAGAAGGGAAAATGCATGCAATTTTTTTTTTCCTTTTGAGTGATTTACATGCACTACACCATTGCTTTATCATCCTTACCAAGGAATTGGCTGTTTTTCTATAAATAAAAGAGGCATATATGTACCTAAAATTGAAAAGACACATTTCATCATTCTTAGGGCTGCAGGCAATTCAAATAATTGAACTTGTGGTTAAAAAAAGAGACTCATGATCAAGAAGAACTTCTAAGCTCTATGATCTTACTCTTTGTATCCATAGATACAGCTGAAATTTTTCAAGGGGGTTATTTATGTGCCTCATTGGCTTATATTGCTTCATCTTCTGAATTCCAGTTGTGGTTATATAGTTTGTGTTGCACAAGTTAGGTCATGAGAATGAATGGGAAAGGCATAAATTTTTTTCCATGTGACGTCTTTGTACAGGCACGCCATTGTACTTGGCTCTAATCATCCTTACCAAGATTTCGGCAATTTTTTGACATTTATCATCACTGTCAGAGCTGCAGGTCATTCAAAATATTGAACTTGTGATTCCAATAAAACAAATTCAAGAACAAGAGCGTGTATGTTCTAAACTCAAACGTTCAAAAAATTTACTTGTTTATAGTATGCATTTAATAAGTACATCGTGGTTAAGCAACAAAGACCAAGGCTAAGGTAACTGCGCATTTTTCATTCCCATTTAGTTCAGATTCTAACAAAATAATACTAAGGATTTTCATTACTTTCATTTTACATTCTGTATGTCCATCGCTAACTAACAACAGAGTTTATTATAATATTGGGCACCGGTAGTAGGTAGCATAACATCTTAATAAAAGATAGAATACATGCCTACTCATGCCAGTTGTGACGTTCAGCTCTCTGTAGTCTACATCGAGGTTTATATTCACCTGTTGTGACATTTTCATCAAAGACAGCAAATGAATACCTCTTCAGGTCTCTTAAATTGAAGCAAAAGAATCTCTGCACACCCTCTGATGAACAGGACATATATCAGGTTGTCTCACTATGTAAATTTGATCCCCAGTTTGCTTGTAAGAGTCCTGATTTCGATACCACGTCCACAAAGCCCATGTTTCATTTTTTACCTGCATATTACACATAGAAACACTTAATTAGGTATGAGCATGATTTCTGATACTTTGTTCAGTCAATTTGAGGTTCCATAAGATAGAGACTCAAATGAAATTGAGGTCATATTTCAAAAATCAAAAAAAGATTTTACAACTATTTGAAACACAGGAATGTCCCTGCTTGATTTTGATATATCCTAAGTGCAACTAGTATTAGTCCTATAAGCATTAATTCATAGCATCAGAACCTAACATGATATAGCAGAGCTTTTAATATTTAACTGTCCATCAGATAATGAGTACTCAACCATAACTAGTATATAAATTAAATGAATGCAGCACTTGTACCACCGTGCTTGTTGTACTCCACAAGGGTGGGATATGAAGGGAATGGTACCTCTAGAATCCCATAGCCAAAGCTACTTTCTCTGAAAGCACTATAATCTGGCTGGCGATCCCAACAAAACTTACTCAATGCTGGGCCAAATGTAAAATTTGTTGCACAAAAGCCACCCACATGTGGATCATGGATGCTTGATGGATCAGGACAGTGACCAGGCTCGTCTGCGTGTTTGATTGCCATCTTCTCTCGGTTACCCCCATCCCCAACTATAATATATACAGGACCACATGGATCTAAATTATAATTATAAACCCGATTTGACCTCTCATAAGCATGAACCTGGTGATGAATTTAAATAAGAAACAAAAAGCACAGCTTAGTCCTACTAAATCATACAAGTATTTGACTAAGTACTAGTGATATATGCACTATTATTAACCTCTTAATAATATGCTTGTGGTGAACTTTAGGGAGTAAATCAGACATAAAATCCATAATCACGGCTGACTAAGAAAAATAAGTGTTCCAATTTGCTTCAGAATACAAAATCATTTAATTACCATGGCGTTCAGATTGCTTTAATTACTATATGCTGTTATACAGGAGCAGCTGAAGCTTTGAATTAATGCACATATCGCCAGTTCACTAAGAAAAAACAAAAAAAAGTAAAAAAATGGCCCTTGACCATTAGTATAAATTTTTTTTTTGTCATTTTTATCTCATGGCTATGATAGTTCATTGGATGTAAGAACAGACTTTAAATAGATTATCATCATTTTATTCATTAGGATTTAGGATAACTCACATGTCCATTAAATACTATATCCACAGCATATGAGTATAGCAGGTCTTCCACCTCCACCCTCATACACTCTGCTTCTCTATAGTGGGCCTTATAGGAACTATACCATGGTGGATGCCAAGCAGCTACAAGCCACGGAGTTATTGATCTGTCGACACTAGCCAGATCTCTCTCCAGCCACTTGTATTGTTCAGCTGCCATGAAATTAACCGTCCCAGGTAACAAGATGGGGGAAAAAAAAGTAAACGCTCTTCATTATGTTTATGGATCAATTCAGATAATAGAACAACATCTGTATGTATATTGAAACCAATAAAACCTTTGAATTGATTACAATGCCAATTTTAAGAACATTCAACACCCAATAATTTTCAGTATAACTGAATACTAATACTTGTCTCTGTTTCAACACCCAATAATATTCTCTTTTCCTTTTCCATTTTGATTGTAACTTGTTAGTTCAGTAACTATAACATATACTGCTCCCCCAGAATTTAGACATGTTAGTCCTTTTCTGAATCAAGTTCCGACTCAAGGGAAAAAGTGATTTTTATCAGATTTAAAAAAATTCTTTCAGGTCCAGGTTGACATGTACTTATGATTCCTGTCATCCAAAATACAGGGTCAATCAAAGTAGTCCCATAAGTAGTAGTATAATATAGGTGAATCCGGTATTGACTGCTAACTCAAAATACCATCCCATATACTTGATAAGTGCAATACAAAGAAGTTTCATTGGGCCATCCTCTAAGCTCTCAAAATTATTTTTCGTTCTAAGTATTTACTCTGATGGAAATTTCATGAAATATGACACAATTTTCATTAAAATAACCAGTTCATTTAACAATATTCACTTGAAGTTATTTGCCGGTCAGTGTAGATAGTAAACTCTAATTAATGGCCAATGCTTTTGGAAACTTATCTGAAGACAGTAAACAAACAGTAAATCCATCTTAGTTAACCATGATTTGCCCACACAGCCAAAACTTCACATTCTCAAAATTCATTTTTTTTTCTTCTAATTTGTTTTCACTCTGGCCTGCCTGTCTAAGTAAGGATCGAAAAGCATACCTACTAAATCAATACTGATAAGGTATAACCCAAAATAAATCAACTTAAGGCAAATAATTGTACAGTGAAAAGGGGTAGAGCAGGGAAATACCTGTTTTATCATAATTAGTATAAGCCCCAAGCATAATAAAATGAATTCCCCCAGCATTGAAAGAGTAGTAGAGTGTGGATGAAGATCCACTTTCTTCAGAGGGGAATGCAAACCTGGAACTGTAAGCCACGAATTTCCTGTTTCTAGCTTGTTTTTCTATTTCATGATTTCCTTCTATCACCATTATTGGAACTTTGGAAATTAGATTCTGCATAAACCTGGAATCATTCAGTTATGGTAGCATAAGAAGATATAATATAATATCACAGTGCTTTTTCATCAGCCTTAAGCTATTGCTTCGAACTTAAATAATTTTTCCTTGTACCTTCCCCAATAATCCCATCGAGGCTGGTAGGTTTCGTGTATATGGGTTAGTGGAAACGAGCAACTATAACAGTCAGAGCCAGTTCCATTTGTGAGGTACAGATTCGCATAGGTTACATCACCAACCAATAGAAGAAGATCAGGTTTATTACTAGTTAGGTGACTGACGGTAGTAGTTGTATTATAAGTGAGACCAAGATCTCCTACTACTGCAACTCTGCCTGGGTAGCTCTGTGGACCAGAAATTGGCATGGTCCTGAAATAGTATATATCACTCATGGCTTGTAATGAGGGATCTCCACATTGATAATAGTATAATGTGCTTGGTTCCAATCCTACACATACAGTGGAAACTAGTTTAAATAAACTATAACATGAAACTTCCATACAATAACAACTAGCCTTATCCTGGCAGAGTCAGTTGCATCTTGCATGGCTCAATCCTCATCATTGACCTCTATCTAACATTTAATTTTCATCCCACGACAAAAAAATAAACCGCAATGCCTAATAAGTGTACATGAAATTACTTGAAAGTATTGACCTTTCTTAGTGCTGGAAAGCTGCAAATCACAGTGTTCAAGAACAATGACCAAAATCATTTTGATAACATATTAAATGAAAATAGATACTCTCATGAGTTATTTAACATGACCATGTCATGTGAGATGATCTTAATCATCAATGAACAAATAAACTGTGATAATTTTGTAACTTCCTATTTCTATATTTTTTTCTCTCTCATCTCTTATCACCATTGATTTTTACCCTTGTATGGTTAGGATTCACTCACATGATATGGTCATATTAAATAACATACGAGAGGATCCACTCCCGTATTAAATAGACAGCATAGATAATACCATTACTACAAACTGATTGCAAAAGAAGGGTCCTCTCATTATGGCTTATATATATATACTCCTGATCCAACCCAATACTAAGCTACAACAACCAGAAAAAAACACAACACTTAAACAGAATAATAGAAACAGTTCCTTGGGTCAGTTTGGTGTATTAAACTCTTACTAGGAAACAAAAAAGAAAAAAGTTCACCTGTGAGACGAACATGATGGATGATTCCAGAAGTGTAATTCTGAAGGCTTTCGAAAGGATAAAGCTGGTTGTAGATAAGAGATTGGCCTCTAGCTTCATACACTAATGCAAATCTTGAAGTTCCATATTGAACAACACTTGAGACAGTTTTAGGGTCTAACGGCTTGATGTCATAACCAATTTGAAACTCCCCTAGGTATTTTCACATCATCAACAAAACAACATGAATAACAGCATTGGATTAAAACCATCAAAACCCAATTTAATTTATGTTCAAATCATTTATTACATCCATCCATAAAAATATTTCTCCTTTTTTTTTCTTTAGTTTTTATTTATTTTGATTTTTATTTAGGTGATGTTGATGTATCGATAAAATCACAAGGATCAGAATCATACCATAACTACAAATATGATCATGAAGTGTTTTAAAACCGTATTAGTATTGTCACACAAGATACCTGTAATCCATGAGACCCAAATGGAATCATGGTTGGAGGAGAGAGAGAGTGAAATCTGTTCGGGCTCGAAACCCCGGACGTGGCGGCGAACACGGGGATCGGTGTCCGGCAAGTCGAGGGCGACGCCGCGCAAGGCGGGGTCGAAGGGAACGGTGACAGGATCAAAAGGACCTTCGAGTGTGGTTGGAATGTGGCAGTGACCGAAACCCACAAGCACATTAAGCAGAAGAACAAAACCGTGATGGAATAGAAGAACAAAGACAAGAGACATCATTGGCGAACATGAAATTTTCTATTTGTCAAAAAGGATATCTGTTTGCAGGGAAGAGTGTTTCTTCTCTTACACACAGTTGCTCCTTGCAACCGTAATGACATTATTTTGAGTTTTATGAAAAACAAAAATCTAAAATATTTTCGAAATTTATTTATTTTATTGAAATAAATATGGCTTTAATGTTACTACATTAAATGTAGATAAATTATCTATATTCGCTTCCAAAATAATATCATTTTGGATTTAAAAAAAATATTATAATGAAAAAGACTATTATAACCCTGAAATAAATTATAATTATAAAAATACCTTGATTTTTATATTAAAACGACGTCGTTTTGAGTTCATTGTAGATAAGTTATCTACATTGATCGTAGAAAAAGCGAACCCAATAAATATTTATCATTCTAGATGACACAATTTTATGTATTTATGTCATTCCAACTGAAACTACTTTTTGGTAGATTTTTACGTTTTCTTTCTTCCATAATATTCTCCTTTTCTCTCTACTCTTGATTTTGTGGGAGAGACCGAAGGTAAAACCATACTAAAATACATTAATTTTACTTAAAATGATAAAAAATTATGTTCTTTAAATGATAAATATTCTTTACTTTTATATAATAGTTTTTTTTTAAATATGGGTTTCAGTAGAATACTCCCTCTATTTGAATTTTCTGACCTTAAATAATTAAGTGAAATATGAAGCTTTGATAGCTGATTAATGCAAGCAAATGAGCATAGAGCTAAGGAAATCAAGGTTTTAAGTGATTCATAGCTTGTTACTTCACAAATTGAAGGGAAATATCAAGCTGAAGGGCCTTTGTTACTGAAATATTTGAACAGAGTGAAACAAATTCTATCTGAGTTTGATGAAGCTACCATCAATCACATTCCTTGAGGGGAAAATAACAGAGTTGATATTATGTCAAAATTGGCAAGCACAAAGAACCTGGGTAATCATAGAGCCGTAGTTCAACAAAGTATTGCTAAGCCGAGTTGTGTGATGGTTATCACGACTTCGAAAGATTGGAGGCGGCCAATTATTACTTACTTGGAAAGAGGAATATTCCTAGAAGAAGACTTGGCCGAGGACAAAAATTTAATCCAAGATGTAGTCATGCATGCCGTGATAAAAGAGAAATTACATAAGAAATGTTTGCATTCTCTATTATTAAAATGCTTGAACTCAGAAGAAGCCAAGTATGTTTTGGAACAAATTCATGAAGGAATTAGTGGTCAGGATATTATTGGCCCACAATGAAAGGTGATACAAAAGAGCATGTCAAGAAATACAATAATTGTCATAAACATGCAAAGATAAATTTTTTCTCCTACAAAAGAATTAACATCTATCTCGACTCCATGGCCATTTTATAAATAGGATATGGACTTGTTGGGACTATTTAAAGCGGCTGAAGGACAATTACGATGGTTGATTGTAGCTGTTGATTATTTTACAAAATGGATAGAAGCTGAAGCTGTAACAACTATTACCTCGGCTAAAGTTCAAAGGTTTTTTTTGAAAGGAATACTGTTTCCAGATTTGAAATTTTAGTCGAGATAGTGACAGATAATGGAACTTAATTCACAGATAAGAAGTTCTAGGAATTGATGGCTGATTTTCATAGTAAGCATCATTTTGCTTCTGTTGAACATCTCAATCAAATAGGCAAGCTGAAGCTGCTAATAAAATAAGTCTTAATGAGCTTCGAAAGCGGTTGGGTGATGCTAAGGCAAATTGAGTTCAGCAATTATATTTTGTCTTGTGGGTATACAGGACAAGCATTCAAACAGCAATTGGAGAGACTCCTTTCAGACTTACTTATGGATGTGAGAATATGATCCCGGTTGAAATAGGGGAGTCTCCTTGGAGGAGGATGAAAACTCTAAGAGAAGAATAATGAAGCTCTAGCTGTAGAGCTGGATTTGATAGATGAAGTAAGAGTCACGATACATTGCCAGGATATGAAAACCAAGCAACGAATTGCAGCTAACTACAATAGAAAAGTAAGACCAAGGTCGTTTGAAAGAGACAAATTGGTACCTCAAAGAGAAGATTTAGGAAATAAAATTGCAAGAGATGGAAAGTTAACTGCAAACTGGAAAGACCTTTACTAGGTAAAAGAAAAACTCGATAAAAGAGCTTATATCCTCGAGACTCTAGAAATGAAGCCTATCAAAAGAACATGGAATGCGGATTATAAGAACCTGCACCGCTAAATTAGAAATTTAAATAATTTAATTATGAATTTAGGATATAATTCTATAATTGACTTTAGATAAATATAGAAAGAGCATAATAATTAATATTAAGCCACCTTTCAGAAGGAAAGTGTAAACACCAGGTATTTTGAGGTATAAATGGATATCGGCGAAGTAATCCGAAAAATAGAAATAAAAATATGAATATTCCTAGAAAAAAATCTTGGTTAAGAATATCAAATATGGGATAAAAATAATAAGCAGTGATGTCAGAAATAATATCAGCTATTTCACAATATAAAATGCGTACCAGTGAAGTGTCTCAAAAAATTATAAGAAAAATATGATAATTCCTAGAAAAATATCTAAGTTAAGAATATAAAGTTTGGTAGAAAAATGATTAGCAGAGCTATCAGAACTAATACTGTTGATTAGTGTGTACACTTATATAAATAGCTAAAGGGCACAAAACCCTAGGTCAGTTCTAATTCAGATGTTGGACCTCTTTTGGCTGCACAAATCTCCCTACACCAAGTATTTAGCCTTCTCTTCAAGAAATTCACCAAGACTCTTTTTTTATTTGGTTTTCTTCCATCAAAATCCATTAAACATTAGAAAGCTTCCATCTTCCAAACAAAAGGGGCTGTCTTTTAGGTGTTTTTATTCTGTTTACGAGAGTTAGTGGGCTGCCTTCTTTGGTTGGTATGGTTAGAGCCATTTCCACTCACTTTGAAGCTTCAAGGAGTCATCTTGGTGGAGAAATAACCAAGCTTTAAAGCTAAAATTTGTGCACCTTCTTGGACAGTAGCTTGGAGCTGTAGCAAGACCTCTAAAGTCTCCTTCTTTTGCTGTTTTCAAGCATTGGGTATACACTCTACCCTTTCCTCTTTATTTTCTATGAAAAATATGAAGTTTTGAGTTGTTAAAAAGGGAAACTTTGATGATTCAAGTTAAAGGTTGTTAATTTAAGTGTAATATGGTAGATTGAAATTATATTTTTGGGTAAATCGAAGATTGGAACCTTGGAGGGCCTTTGGAACTTGAATTATGCAGAAAAGTATGCATTTTTTGCTTTTCTGCACTGGTGGTAAATTATTACCTTAGAGTGGTAGTCGATTACCATGGGGGGTAATCCATTACCCCCAGTATGGTAATCAATTACCTAGTGCAAATTATAATAACCTAACCTAATTAATTAGTAAATTATATGTAATTAAGTAATTAGACATGTATCAGTGAGTAAAATTAAGTATAGGGCCAAATTAAATGATTTGGGGTCACTTTTGAGGTAAAAAATGCACTCAGTGAAAATTATGGCTTAAAAATGGGTGTAGGCAAAAGTACCCAAAATATAAAAATAAAAGTGTAAATATTCCTGAAAAAATATTCCAGACCTTTGGGTAAAGTTTGAATGAGAACGGAGTTGGGTAGATAGATAAGCTATTACCCAGTAAAAATGACTTAACCAAGTTAAGTGGCAAAAACATGACAAGGACCCCTCATTTTCTTCCTCTTCGTCGAGCAAAAACTGAAAGGGAGGAGAAGAGAATAAACCTTGAAGCCTCAAACCCTAGTTCCATCATCTTTCAACCGATTTGAGTGATTCAAAAGCCTAAACCACTTAGAATCTTCCTCTCATCCTTAATCCTAGCTTGGTTTTGAGTGAGGAGCATTATGGTGTGAGATTTCTCTTCCCAAAATTTCGCCCCTTTGAAGATTGAAAGGGTTTGGGAGCATTTCATTTCTTGGGGGACTTAGGGAGCATTCATTCCATGGTTGTGCAATTATTTGTGGTAAGTTTCCACTCCTTACGCTTTGTTTTCATGGAGTTTGTATGATGGAGGAAGATGATGAATAGTGTCCTTGTGAGTAATATGAGTTCGGGTTTGATTTAAGCTTAAGCCCTTTGTAAAAGTTGTTGTAGATGATAAATAAACGGTAGAAATAAGTTTAGATAGTCATTTAGTTATTGTTCAATATATGGGAAAATTCATGCTTGGGCTTATGGATGTTCTAGCATTTTGAGCAATTAATGAGTTAGATGATTGATTGTGTCCTTGTGTTGCTAGGATTGAGGCAAGTGGACAAACTTTGAGTGACCACTCATCGGAGCAAGCTATGGAGCTTGATTAGCCCATTTGGATAGGTAAGCTCATGCCAATTGGTGGTGTAGAGTTGTTGTTTTGTTGATGTATATATGGATATTCATTAACTTGTATTGATTGATTGTGTGATACCTGGGTGTAGGTATGTATTTTGCAAGTTGTAGCTTGAATTCAAAGTTGATTGGTTGCAAAACTTGTTGGTGAGCAAAGGTTGAATTGGAGCTTTGAGGTAAGCCTTTGGACCTTGGGTGTTAATCCCTTTACTGTTCCACCAAGCCCGGAATGGGTAATGGTTATTGATAGCGTTGTATATGCAATAAGGTAGTTTAATGCTTTGTTATACGTGTGTGTATGCATTTTGTGTGGCATAGGATGGTGTTTCCCTATGTTTTGTATGTTGCATGATGATGCGTAATTCATACTTAGTAGTTTAGCTGGCCAGTAGGACTATTTTGCATCTGAGTATCCTTAGGACGGCATGAGAGCTCGAGGGATGTCTCCTAGAGATGTTTTTACACACTGCATGGATATGTATTTACTGCATTATTTACTGATTATTGCTATTAAAATGTGAGTGAACTATGGGGTGGAGAGATGCTCCAAGGACCCCTGGTTTACTGAGATGTATTTATAGATCTCACCCCGTGTTGTGGGGACCCCCTTTTCAGGTAAAGATGCTGCAGGAGCCTATGATGGCAAGTAGCCATATCTGGACTAGTTGATACAAGAAGATTTTGCATCATTTTG